GAAGAAGAAGAAGAAGAAGAAGAAGAAGAAGAAGAAGAAGAAGAAGAAGAAGATCTTTCAAATATAATTGTTTATCATAAAAACATGATTGATTTCAAACTGACTGTTTTAAAAGATATGGATTAAAATTTAAAAAAAAATAAAGCGTTGTAGTGAATATAAAAAAGCAACCTAAAATGTCAATTAAAAAAATCGGCAGGTGTAGAGGAAGTGGGAAAAGCATTTTAAAACTCCAGGACAGACACTGTAAGTGTATTAAATTGCCTTTTTCTCCATATAGGGACCGCACATGTAGCTCAGTTGATATTATTATTATGCTGGACTGCCTGTGGAGCGGAAGGCTGTAGTTCGAATCGCCTAATTCGTTCTGAAATAATTTTTTTTTTGGGAGGGGGGATGTTTAAATCACTCCATTTATTAAGTTTGGTTGTATCGGAGAGGGACGTTACCCTCGGTGTTCCCTCCCCCCACCCCCACCCCCCCCCTCTCTCTCTCTCTCTCTCTCTAACACTCTTACTCTCTTATTCTCTTTCCCGTTTTATCTCTCCTTTTCCCTTTCTCACACACTGTCTCATGTGATTTCTGATTCTAACGAAGTAAAAAAAAACCCAACCAGTTAACGTAAACCAACCCGCCACAGCCAATGCGGCCAATAGTCTTAAAGATCGCACTAGATATCTACGTCTTTCGGTTTCTAGGATGAGACAAAGATCTTAAGCTACGTTGTTGGTTTTTAAAGTTTTTAAAGTTGTTTTTTTTTTTGGGGGGGGGGGGGAGTTGTTATTTTGTTTTTTTTGGGTTTAAAAAAAATTCATGTACCTTTCTGTCCGGCTCTTTTCTCTCCAAAATTGAGAAGCATTCTGGTACATTACACATTTTGCAAGACTTTTGTTCATTTCCATAGACTTCTACGCTTAGATAACGCACTGTCATGGCCACCGCTCTTCGTTCTCTTGATTTTTATGAACTGAAAAAAAAAATACTTTGCTGCGCAGGCATGTACACCATTCATTGGCTGCCCCAATGCACCAAAATAAAGGACAAAACAATATTATACCAGTCTTGTTACAGCTGAGTGCTCGAAACACCCCCCCCCCCTTTTCCACACCCGTCCCCATCCTAAGCTTTTGCACTTCATCTGGTTCATATTGAGTGTTAATTTTATATTGTGCGTTGGATAGAGAGCCGGAAATACGTCAGAGTGCTTTTTTAGGAAACCGGAAATACGCCAGGCAGAGTGCGTAAAAAAAGTTTTAGTAAGAGCTTTATGGCACTTGCAACACAATAAGGTCATATCGAAGATTAGAGGTGTTCCGAGCGAGTCACCTACACATCAGAAATGGAGGATCGATAAAGACGATAGCAGATGTTTGAGAGGGAATAGTAAGCAGCAAACCACGCCAGATCACCCGCCGACCACCCACTATCAGAATGCTCGGTCTAGGGTATTGTAATACAAAGTCTATGCCCATTCTGCAGGATCTGCAGCAGGTTTTGTTTATCATTCAAGCACACGGGCCATCTGGCATCTGGAGGCGTCGGTGGGAGAAGCTCCTCTGGGAGGGGTCTGCTTGTTGAATGTCACTGGTTTGGTTTGAGTAACGGGAAGCACATCGACGCAATAACGGTCATCTGGTGCAGGGGAAACGCGAGGCAGATAGATAGGAATAAAAGATGGAAATAACAAGATAAATGTGAGACTGATAGACAGAAAGAAAGAGGGAAAGAACAGGGGAAATGTGAGATAGACGGAGACAGAAGAGGGAAAGAACAGCGGAAATGTGAGACTGATAGACAGAAATAAAAAGGAAAAGAACAGGGGAAATGTGAGGCTGATAGACAGACAAAAAAGAGGGAAAGAACAGGGAAAATGTAGGACAGATAGAGACAAAAGAGAGGAAGGGCAGATTTAGGAGGATCTACCACTAGCACCCTCCAGTCACCCGTACTGTCAACACAAAAGGAGTGTACGGAATTAAGACCCACCAGTAGCACACTCCAACCACTCACACCGTCAACACAAAAGGAGTGTACGGAATTAAGACATATCAGTGGCATCCTCTAACCGCCCACGCCTACATGTCAATTCAGCTTATATTATGGAGCTAGCGAGTGCGGATAATGTTTGTTATTAATGAATATCGTCGCAATCAATATTGTCCAAATTTTGAGAATTTTCTTGTTGTTGATCCTTTAAGCGTGGTGCTTTCTTCCTCGACG